TGGCAGCTTGAACGGCGTGGAATGGAGCCTCCTGCCGCCGGCGACCGAGGAGGTGGTGGCGCAGGCCGAGCGGCTGAAGGGCCGTTTCCAGGGGGATCCTTCTTTCGAGTACGAGTGCCCCGAGATAAGTGCAGAAGAGGCTGAAATGTTGTTTGGAGACGGGAAGGAGGTAAATGCAGCGAAAGGCTTTGGAACTCTCACTGCTGCGGTGGTAGCCCTCACGCTGACAGGCGGTGGCTCCTCCTCTGTAACAAGCAGCCTGAGCTGATCTCCTCGCTCTCCTTGTGTAGCAACAGCTTCTTGATCGAACGCTTCAGTTACTCCTGGAGCTAGACACAGCCCAGAAATGTTCTTTCTCCTTCTTTACACACAATTGGTACAAATCCCCCCTACAGTGTCTGAAGCTTTACACAGGAGCTGCAGGCAGCATTCTTTATAACCGAGTACACAAGTTGTAAGTAGCTTAATTGAGAGGGAGGAAAGGATGGGTGGAGTTAATGTATTAATTCTCCAGTGAATCTAGGCTGCCTGCTCCTGCTTCTCTTACGAGGAGAATGTCCGGTTGGTGGTCCTCCTCTTAGCGCCATCAGGCTCCAGGCTGATGAGTCCATTGTGGTTTCTAGTCTCACCTCGAGTTTATTTTCAGAAATGGCAAGAAGGAAAGCCCTGCCTTTAAAATTTGCCTATTTTCCTTTAAAGCCCATCATCAAGGAGGAGGCCCGCCTCGTAGCTACGATAGAGCAGATAGACAGAGCGGTCGGTATCATCCCCCGAGGGGCGTTTGTGAAGACTCCTCTTGGGTCTGTGCATGAAAACAGAAACTTTGAAGGTAAATTCCCATTGTTTTTATCAGGATCAACTGCACTTTGATCATAGAGGCTGTAAATGAAGATGACTTTCTCTAGCTGGTGTTTTGATTTCGGGTTTATTTCTTCCTTGGGTGAGATGAACAGGGAGGAGGGAATCTGATGCCACTAATGTTCAGGTGCATGATTCAGCTCTGGAAGGTGGGAGGAGAGTCTGCAATGGCTCTGAGTCATTAAACCTGCAGTTTCATTTGTCTGTGTATGGTTTATGGCAGCACTTGGCAATTACAGCTGCAGGGAATTCTCCACCTAGATGTAAGGTGTAACCAAGTGGGCACAGAGCTGGTCTCAGCTCGGTGCTCGTTGCGTACCTGGGCCTGCAGGCAGCACGTCTGCAGCGCGCAGCATTGGGGAGCGCTGCCACCCGTTCTCTGGCAAGTCTTGGGTCTGCTGTGGAGTCCCTTGGGGAAAGATTAGGGTTCTGTCCCACGCAGTGGGCGTTAAAGAAACAGTATGATGTTTGATGGCATGATGAACGTCAGCCCAGCTCGCTGTATTCACCGCCACCGATGGCTGTTTGCAGGTCTGTCTCTGACGGAGGCAAAGAAGTTAAGTTCCTACTTCCATTTTACTGAGCCTGTTAACCTGAAGAGTAAAACCCTGCTGGAAAAGGCTGACCTGGACCCATCCACTGACTTTCTAGACTCTCTGGAGCACGATATCCCACAAGGTAAAGGTAAAGGTAGCAGAATCCATAGGTGCAATGAAAGGGAAGGCAGTCCAAGCAGTCTGGGAAACGCTGAGGCAACAAGGTGTGGGCTACTGTAGAGTGGGCGTGCTTGGGAGAAGCTCCTGCAAATCTGTAAAGAAACTTTATCCTTTACTAGTATTGTACTTAATTCCCTTTTTAAGCAATTCTAAACGCTTACAGTGGTAAGCTGTAAGTGTACCAGGGCTGTCACAGCCTCACCGCAGCTCTGCCCACAGCAGTGATCCCCTCTGCCTATGTGCCATATTCCCTCCTGACTTCTGTAAAGCCTGGGACAGCTGGTGTCCCTGTGGGGAGACAGAGCTCCACCGGTGACAGAGGGAATTTATGTGGTTTGAAGTATTTCACACCTCCCATCCCACCCAGTATTGGTGGTCTTTATCTAAATGGGCCCTCATTAACACTGAGCTGGTATCCCTGAGAGGCTGAATTCAAACGTTCCCTTGATAAACCGGGTTAGATGGGCTGTAGTGTGGAATAATCTGTGCTCTAGCAGGGTTACACGTGCTGTGGAAGGAGAAGATGTGTGTACTGGAGTGTATCTTCAGTTCCCACCTCGACTGTTCTGTTGGACAGCTGCTAAATACATTTAAAGCCTCTTCCAGGGATCCCTCTGGCAGGTTATTTCTCTAAAGAGATGAGAGTGACTTGTTTGTTTCTAACTGCTTTGTGCCGATTTGCCGCATTTTTCAGATTGGGCCAAGTGTGTTCGTGTCCTGCTGTCTAGCAAGATCCTTAGGACACAATCAGAGCTTAGGTTTGCTATTTCCTTCCTGTCCTGGAA